CCCCACCCCCCGGAGTGGCCCTGCTCTGTGCGTGACGGGGTGGCGCCGCAACCTCCCCATCCACTCTGCCTTGAGTGTGACAGGGGCGGTGCCCCACTCTCCAATCGGTTCTACCCTGAGCTTGACTGGGGGTGGCATCGCAACCTCCCGATCTGCCCTGCTCTGTGCATGACAGGGGGCGGCGCCCCAACTCCCCAATCAGCCCTGCTCTGAGCCGACCAGGGGCTGCACCTAGGGATTGGGCCTGCCCTCTGCAACCCGGGAGCAGGCCTAAGCCAGCAGGGCGTTATCTCCCGAGGGGTCCCAGACTGCGAGAGGGCTCAGGCCAGGCTGAGGGACCCCCCCTTCCCCCCGAGTGCACAGATTTTTGTGCACCAGGCCTCTAGTCCTATATTATAAAAGCCTAATATGATAAGTGTCTGATCATCCATTCAACCAATCAAAGCATAATATGCTAATGATATGCTAAGGCCACTCAACTGCTTCCTATGACATGTACTGACCACCAGGGGTCAGACAGTTGACCAGTCGACAAGTCACTATGACATGCACTGACCACCAGGGGGCAGACGCTCTGACTGGTATGTTAGCTTGCTGCTGGGGTCCGGCCGATTGGGACTTAGTGAGATGGGCTGGACCACCCTGGAAACCTCCCATGGTCCCTCACCAGCTGGCCAATCTCCCACATTCCTCCCCAGCCCCGATTGTGCATCAGTGGGGTCCCTCAGCCTGGTCTCCGCCCTCTCGCAATCTGGAACCTCTCAGGGGATGTCGGAGAGCTGGTTTTCGCCCCAATCCCGCAGGCTAAGCCTAGGGACCCCACTGGTGCATGAATTTGTTCACCGGGCCTCTACTAATGTATAAAGGAGGGACGCTGGACAGGTTCTCTCTGCTCTCTAGGAGTCAGGATTGTGGTTTTACCCAATTATTTTTCTGCATTTCATTTTTTTCCCCAACATCCACTTATAATCTTTTTTTCAAGAAAATTATTTTAAATCAGTGAAATGGCATATGTCTGAAGTTGATTTTTCTTATTGCTATATTGTCTGAATATTAGGATTATAGGCTTTAGACCAGCCGTGGGCAAACTACGGCCCGCGGGCCAGATTCGGCCCGTTTGAAATGAATAAAACTAAAAAAAAAAAAAGACCGTACCCTTTTATGTAATGATGTTTACTTTGAATTTATATTAGTTCACACAAACACTCCATCCATGCTTTTGTTCCGGCCCTCCGGTCCAGTTTAAGAACCCATTGTGGCCCTCGAGTCAAAAAGTTTGCCCACCCCTGCTTTAGACCAACAAAATCCACTGTTTTCCTTCAGCCTTGCTGCTATCCATATTTGATGCATTTGGCTAACTTTAAAATATGGTCATTTATGGTTTTATTGCTTCATTTTTTCCTACTGTGTTTGGACATGAAGAGAGCTCTTAAATAAAAATAAAACAAAAACAATTTTATAACAATACTGTTCTGTTTATGCTTTTCTCTTTGATCCTTTTAACTCATTGAAACAAGTTAAAGTTAAGTACAAAGACATTGTTATATTTACTACTGAGAAATGATTTGTGAATGGATTTTCTCATCTACAGTGATAGTTTTCAAAGTGTGGTCTGGGAATCTAAGTAACCCTCTGACGTGTCTATGGAGGAAAAATTATTTTCACAGTAATACTAAAAAGTTAAATGCCTTTTTTACTCTCAGTCTTATGAGTGTAGAGTGTAGGTTTTTCTAGAGACTACATGGCATGTGATGTTGGAACAGCTCGAATACAAAAGCAAACATGAGAATTCACCAATCTTCTATTAAGCCAAGCATTAAAGAGACTTGAATAAATGTAAACTAATGCCTCACTTTTTACTGTCTTTCTGACCTAGATTTTTCATTACAAATACCAAATTTACAATATCATATACAATAGGCTTATTGTTATGTCAGTAAATGTTTTTTAAACCATTTGACTTTAATTTCAAATATATTTTTTTCTCAAATATGATATTGATAGGAATACCCACATAAACAAAAATTCTTTAAGGTCCTCTGTAATTTTTAAATTTGTTAAAGGAATCTCAAGACCAAAAAGAGAACTAAAAATCTATATGAACTTTTAAATTTTCAGATGTTTGAATTTTTCTTATAATTTATTTTTATTTTGCTTGTTATAAGACAAAATAATATGTTTTTAGGTTGCTACAAACCTCAGGGAAGATCAGATTACTTGATGTTGGCAGCTGCTTTAACCCATTTATGAAGTTTGAAGAATTTCTAACTGTTGGCATAGACATTGTACCTGCCGTAGAGGTATGTATAGTTATGTTTTGTTTTGAGACTTGAATATTTTACATGCATATTTACAAAGGAAAAGAATTGTCTTTACATTTTTGAAATACCAAATATATTTAGTGTGTACATGTTGATATTGTTTCCATTCAAAAATAAATATATATTTAATTAAAAATTTTTAGCATTTAATTAACAAATATTTACTTGACCTATACCATATTTGTATTTATTTTCTCAATTTTTATTCCCTGTTTATCATTTATTTTTGCAATCAAGAATATTTAGTAAATTGCACAGATTTTCAGATAGCTGTAGTATTTGGGCTTTTGATTGATTTATTTTTTAATGCATCTCTTTCTGAAATGTATTGTGATGTGGAGCCATTATGGAATAATGGAAATAGCAAAGGCTTTGGAGTTAGCCATAACTTTATTTAATCCCACATATGTACTTAGTAAATGAAACTGCTTACCTTTACATAGAATGTATCCTCTACTTTTAAAAGGAGAATTTTTTTAGTGACATAAATTTATAATGTTTTCCATGTTACTTTTGATACAACACCAGGCACACAAAAAATTTACAAATTAACTTTTTATTTTTATAAAGAGAATGCGTATAAGAATACAAATTCTTTGGCTTAGGGATTTTTTTTCCCTTCTCACTACTATGTTCCCAGCACTTAGAAACATGCCTGGTACATTATGTACTCATTAAGTACTTTTTTTTTTAACTGTTGACAGTATTACAGATGTCTCCCATTTTGTTTTATGAATAAAAGAATCTAATCTTATATTCAACCTGGGTTGGAATCTCTGTTTGTTTTAATGTTTACTTGAGGAAAATATTTAAAGCACCTAGAAAAATACCTGTTACATAGTGAGTGTTAAAGAAATGTTTTTCTATCATTATTGGAATGTTTTTAATTCAAGATTCAACTTTTTCATGGGTCTTTAATTTTGATGAGCATGACTATCTAGAGTAGATGTATATGAGTAACATTGAGGAACAAGGAAATTCTAAAACCATTAGTGTTATCTCTACTTCCTAAAGATGGACAAATGTTTGCTTTATATTAAAACAGCCCTACTTAGCTTTTCACTGCAGGTGCTATAAGAAGCCATAGTTTTAAAGGGCAGGTGACTCTCGCCTTCCTTCCTCAAGACACATACTTGTATTAGAGTATCCTTCAGGGACTGCTGAGACATGACAACCATTTGATCTGAACCTCAGGCTTAAATATTATTCTTAAAATATTTTATTTTTTTACAGATGTGGCTATAAATTTTCAACTGTAAAATCATTAGGGAATGCAAAACAACTGCTATACATAGGTTTAGTAGTAGAATCAGACTTCCACAGTTTCAGAACCCTATAATTAAAACAAAAGGAAGAGACACTTCCAGCCAAGATGAAGTAACAGGGACCAGAGTGATCCTTTTTCCCCTGCCTTAGGTAACAAAAACGTGAACAAAATAATTTATAAGACACTAGAGGCCTGGTGCATGGATTTGTGCACATTGAAAGGAAATTAATTAGAATATTTTAGAGGCCAAGGAGGAACCATGGGAAATTGGCTCCAGGGCATGTCCAGCCCATCTTGCACAGTCCCAATCAGCTGGACCCAGGCAGCAAGCTAACCTACCGTCAGAGCGTCTTCCCCCTGGTGGTCAGTGCGCATCATAGCGACTGGTCGAACGAATGGTCAGACATTTAGCATATTAGGCTTTTATTTTATAGGATTAGACGTTAGATAATAAAGGACAATGATCCCCAAGGGACTGAAACAAATTATATGAGCCCTAAAATTGCACCAGTATATAGCCTTCAGATCATTTTCAGGACATGCACAAAGAGATGATCACAACCCAGCTGATCCCCCGAGTTGTGGAGATGGAGCTAAAAGTTCTAGCAGACCAAAACAGCTAGGGTTCCCAGGGCCGAGTACCAAAGAAATGAGAGCTGCACAGAGGGAAGACTCTAAGGTCTGCAGAGTCCTCCTTCAGTACACAGCTGAGTACTGATCAATATGTGTGTAGAACACTGCATGGGAATGGAGGAAGCACCACCTGAAAGGACTAGTGGTGATAGTGCTTGGCACTCACACAGGCTGGAAATAGCCACTCTGGAAAAAGACATGTTAGAGGACTACAAGATAAAAATCTGTCACCTAGAGTCAGCCTATGAACCACTGTCTCAGTTCAATTCCCAGACTGGACACATTCCTGGGTTGTGGGCTCCATCCCCAGTGTGGGCATGCAGGAGGCAGCCAATCAATGATTCTCATCATTGATGTTTCAATCTCTCCTCCCTTCCTCTCTGAAACTGATAAAAAAAAATACATTAATACCAAAAAAAGAAGGGAAATTTGAGATTGATGTCAGCATCATGGCAGTGTGAGAAAACCTTAGTCTCCTCTCTTAAAGACACAGCAGGCTGGACAACTGTAATTCATCAAAGGATTCCCTGATCAACACGAAATGTCTGAGTGACCGCACATTGAGCCATCTGAAGGTGGGCTGTAAGAGTGAGCAGGACAGGCATGGGGGCAGGGAGGACCGAGAAGGGAGCTGCAGAAGCAGTCCAGCAATTGCAGCAGCCCCAACAGGTGGTATAGCTGTGCAGTAGGGTTGCAGCCTCCTCTCTGTGGACCGGAGGCTGGTGCACATTGATGCTGAACCCAGGGATAGAGACAGTGAAAAACTAGTGCAAAGGGTAGCACTGCCACCATCACCAAGGAAAAAGAAAAAGCCACAGATGCACAAGTCTGCCTCTCCCCCACCCTCCTGTAGCCTGCCATTTCCAGTGGAGGCAGCAGCAGTAGAAGAAAGTTGTGAAGGAGCAGAGGCATCATTTTAAATGGAGTGGCCTATTCTCATTTGAACTAAACCCAGTAGAAAGAATAAAGCTGCAGATGTTCATTTCCAAATGAACCAGCCCACCTCCCCTACCTAACCCACCCTACCCATTGCGGTGGAACCTGGTAAAGGCAAAAGGGATACCTCAAAGAGTGCAGGGCAGCTGACTGCTTCTGGTTGCAGGAAAACAGGGCTGGAACTCAAACCTGGATTCCCATCACTGGCTACACTACCACAGAGGTGTTGCCCAGAGACTCAGGCAACCACTTATAGAAGGGATGTCCGTCTCCTCGGAGAATACAGGGCATTTTCCACACTGAAGCAACATCACCCCACAGAGTCCCACAAGTTCCAGTACTGCAGGTAAGAGAAAACAAAATTTGCACTGTAGCACCGTGTACTGGAAAACAAAAGAAAGAACTGCACTTATCAACCTTCAGGATACCCATCTCAGCTACAAAGACAAACATAGACTCAGAATGAGGGGTGGAAGATGATAACCCAAGAAATGGTATCCAGAGAAAAGTGTGTGTCACTGTACTTATATCTCACAAAATAGATTTCAAGATGAAAAGAGTAAAAAGAGACAAATATGTACTTTTATATTGATAAATGGGACAATACATCAAGAAGACATAACACTTCTCAATATATATGCACCCAATCTGGGAGCACTGAAATATATAAAGCAACTACTAACAGAACTAAAGGGAGAAACAGGCCAAAACTCATAGTAGGGGACTTAAATACTGGGAATGTCCAGCTCAGGTGATCAGGGACGCTGTGCCACTGGGACCTAGAGGATACCTATTAAATAAAGCCATTCTACCAAGCGCAGGAGTTTATATAGAAACAAACACAGGGAGGCTGCCAAAATGAAGAAACAGAGGCATGTCCCAGATGAAAAAACAGGACAAAACTCCAGTAAAACAACTAAACAAAATGGAGACAATCTACCAGATGCAAAGTTCAAAACACGGGTTATAAGGATGTTAAGTGATCTCTGTGAGGACTTCTACAAAGAGATAGGAAGTATAAAAAAAAACAGTCAGAAATGAAGACCATCTTAACTGAAATGCAGAGTATATTATAGGGAATTAACAGTGGAGTAGATGAAGTAGAGGATCAAATCATATATTTGGAAGATAAAAAAGCAGAAAACACCCAATCAGAACAGCAAAAAGTAAGAAAAATCCAAACAAATGAAGATAGTATAACAATCGTCTGGGACAACTTCAAGCATATCAACATTTGCATCATGGCAGTGCCAGGAGGTGGAGAGAGAGAGCAAGGAATTGGAAACTTATGCAAAAAAATAATGGCAGCAAACTTCTCTAAGCTGGTGAAGGAAATAGACATACAAGTCCAGGAATCACGGAGAATCCCAAACAAGATGAACTCCCAAGAGGCCCACACCAAAACACATCATAATTAAAATGGCAGAGGTTAAAGACAGAGAATCTTAAAAACTGCAAGATCAAACATATAACTAATAAAATGGCAATAAATACATATCTATCAATTATTACTTTAAATGAAATGGATTAAATGCTCCAATCAAAAAGCATGTGAAGGCTGAATAGATAAGGAAACAAGACCTTTATATACGCTGTCTACAAGGCACTCACTTCAGATCAAAAGACACACACAGGTTGAAAATAAAGGGATGAAAAAGGTATTTCACGCAAATGGAAACAATTGAAAAGTTGGGACAGCAATACTTATACCATACAAAATAGACTTTAAAGCAAAGGCTGTTAATAAGAGACAAAGAAGGACTCAGCAATTCTAGTTCTAGGTATTTATCCAAAGAAACACAAAACACTAAATCGAAAAGATATAGACATCCACATGTTTATTGCAGCAGCATTTGCAATAGCCAAGATGTGGAAGCAACCTAAGTGTCCATCAGTGGGTGACTGGATAAAGAAGAAGTTGTGCATATATACATTGGGAAGCAAAAGTAGATGTACAGATGTGAGTACAGGAAACAGTTTATTCATATATTATTATGTATTCTTGTATTTTTATACGAACAACTGTGAAGCTACTTTTGCCCCAACTTGTATACAATGGACTATGACTTCACCATAAAAACATATAAAATCTGCAACAACATGGATGGACTTAGAGGTTAATGTGCTGAGTGCCATAAGTACAGCATAGGGGATGTAGTCAGTATATTCTAATAAGTATGGTGTTAGATGGGTATTAGATTTATTGGGGTGATCATTTAATAAATTATGCAATGTCTAATCACTGTGTTGTATACCTAAAACTAATATAATAATGTATGTCAGCTGTAATTGAAAAGTAAAAAAGTACTTAACATAAAAGAAAACATTTCTATTAAATCTTTCCTCAATTAAATTTCAAATAAGCCCTTATTTTTTAAAGATATATATCTCAAAAATATTTCTGATTTCAAATTACATGTTTTTAAATGGCAACTAGGAATTATCTAGAATGAATTACTCTGATTTCTTTGACTAAAAGTTTTTATTGAATAACTTTGTGCAAATGGAATAATTTAGACGGGAAAGGTACATAATTAAAGTTTGTATTAAATAGAAATGCTTTGAAATAGTTCGGTATAAACTCTGTGTAATAAGGTGGAAGTAATTTTTGAATTCTAATGTGCCTTGTTTTTCCACTTCTGCAGAGTGTATATAAATGTGACTTCCTGAACTTGCAGCTTCAGCAGCCACTCCAGCTTGCGCAGGATGCTATAGATGCCTTTTTGAAGCAGCTGAAAAACCCTATTGATTCTCTTCCTGGAGAACTTTTCCATGTGGTGGTTTTCTCGCTCCTTCTTTCTTATTTTCCATCGCCTTACCAGAGATGGATTTGCTGCAAGAAAGCCCATGAACTGTTAATGTTAAATGGTTTATTGCTTATCATCACACCTGATTCCTCCCATCAGAATCGTCATGCTATGATGATGAAAAGCTGGAAGATTGCTATAGAGTCCCTGGGCTTTAAACGTTTCAAGTATTCAAAATTTTCACATATGCATCTGATGGCATTTAGAAAAATATCCCTAAAAACTACAAGTGACTTGGTAAGTAGGAACTACCCTGGGATGTTATATATTCCTCAAGATTTCAACAGTATAGAAGATGAGGACTATTCTAACACTTCCTGCTATGTTCGATCAGATATAGAAGATGAACAACTGGCATATGGTTTTACAGAGCTCCCTGATGCTCCATACGACTCAGATTCTGGAGAAAGTCAAGCCAGCTCCATTCCTTTCTATGAGCTAGAAGATCCCATATTGCTTTTAAGCTAATAGATAATACCTTTTTCTTAGTATTATTGTGAAAAGTGAAGCATAATTTGCTATGTATTTTTTCATCTTTTCAATGTTGACTTTAACCATTGCAGTGAGAAACTTTGGGATATGTAGAAAACTGTAGATTGCACTTTGATGGTTAAACAGTTAAATGTATCACAGAAATAGATTGGTGTAGCTGTTTTGTGATGCACTTGCTCTTTTTTCTAACAAAATTCAAAATTGCTATCTGTTACAGAAAGCCATTTTCTTTTCAGTTTTATCTGGTGATCCAATATTTCCTGAACTTCTTGGAATTGATGGTAATTTTTGTCCTTGTTGTTGCTCATTTGGCAACATCAGATACTGGGGGAGAGAGTTCCCCCTAAATGTGTATTGTAATTTGATAAGCACAGTACAAAAACCACCATTGCCAAAGTAGAGTTTTCATAACTTTCTTGTTGTTTTGAGCCTTGGTGTTAAATATATTTAACTGTGCAAGTTCACTTTTGTTTTTTTAAATGTAGAGTTCATTTACAAATTATCCTATTTAAGTAAGGAACAGTATAATACTCAATATTGACCTAAAACACCTTTGTGAAAGGGTTTGCACTTGTAAGAGAGCTTACGTTTTATCTAGACTAACTTTTCATAAGGGGTCCTCACCTTTCCACTAAGGAGGTATACTGCACTACAAGTCTGAAATTATATAGAAAAAAATTAAAAGTAATCTCTGCTGGTAGTCTCATAAAATGGTTTTGAGCTTTTGGTATTCTTATTTCTATATAAATGCTAACTGAAACTTTTCTTTGAAAATATAAATCATTCATTGGCTGTGGAAATTTTCCCTTTCCACATTGATAAATCTTTCTGTGTTTCTGAATCAGAAGCAAATGGTTAAGGAGAAATATATGTCCAAACAAGACAAGATTTAGTTTAAATAGCTAAGAATATTTAGTCTGTGTTGTCTTATCAGCCAGAAATTGTCATGTAAATTATCATTTTTAAGAGTGCCACTGTGTGGATTTTTTTTTCAAGTGGTTTTTACATTAAAATTACCTCATACTGAGGTTTTTGCACTGAAATGTCAGTTTCAGATTTCATGGTTAATGTACGTGTGTGTGTGTGTGTGTGTGTGTGTGTGTGTGTGTTTAAAGAAAACTTGTATTTTCAATAGTTGATCCTAAATTTCATAAACTGCACTTCTTTACTCTGGTAAAACTGATGTTTTTGTGCTTATTGTGAATTGCCGTAGTTAATTTTGAATGTCAAACTTTATTTAGAAGTACAAACTGTATTTTTTAAGATATAAATGGTTGAATGTGTGTACCTGATATTTCAAATTAAATTTCACATTCTGAATTAATGAAAGTAATAAGATTGTAATTAACCTAAAAAAGTCAGTTAACTACATGCAATAAATATTGGTTGTTCAAATATGCAATAAGTAACTTGAAATTTTTCCTTTACTTTCAATAGCTTTTAATAGATTCTTTAAATAAAGATTGACTTTTCTTTCCAGTTAAGCACTGCAGGTCAAGTCTTGTAGCTCCCCTAAAAGAAAGAAAAAAAACATGTGTTTTAGTAATACTTCTTTTACAATTATTGTTTTCTTTGATTTGACTAAATACTATCTTAAGGGCAAAGAAAAAAATATACCAATAAAAGTGCTTTGAAAGTAAATGAAAACAGTGCTTTTGAGATCCTGGTGTAGGTGCTACCCTGGAGTCAGCATTTGTATTATAGCTAAATGTTGGTGCTATAAATACTTCCAATTTTTTTACAGATGTTGATTCTGCTCATGCTCTGAAGTGTGCCTGTTGTATTTTAAGTAGTAATTTACAGAAAAATCTCCTTATAAAACCTATACTCCCACTTACTATAAGTTTCTTTGAATTTATAAATACCATTTGTTACTGTAAATTCAGCATATTCAAATTAGGTTAGTAAGGATTTAAACGAAGACATATTCTATCAAAGCCAATTCAATATATAAGTGTTAAAATATAAATAGTCATGTGGCTTGGTGCCAGGTTATATGTGTAATATCAAGAAAAGCCAATAGAGCCTTCTAATACTGTATTAATATGGATTCTCTTGAGAAGGATTTCATTTGGATATAAAGAAGTAAGGGTCCTCCTGATGCATTCACAGTTGGATTCTCCAAAATAATTTGGTGTTTCAAAAACAAATGATCCTTTGGTTGGATTCTTTAGGATCAGTTGGTTTATATCATAGTTGCCAAGTGGTAAGAGGTAGCATACCTGAAAGTGTTTGTTGTATTTTTTCACATTTTGTGAACAATGCACATTTATTACAATTTTTTAATTTTCTAATATACATTGTCCATTACTTGTAACCTGAACGTTTTGTGTGTTTTGACCCATCTCGTTAAGTGGTTTCAGAACTTGAATGACTTAGAATTTTCTAGCTATGTTTATCTAGTCACTGTATGTCAACTATATCATACTCCACTTTCCTTGAAAGTTATTTACATCAGAGATACTTTTGGAAGTCAGCAAGTAACAATCATAGTTTCTAAAATGCCACAGGCCTTTTCATTAAGAATCCAAAAGATAACTTATTTCCCAAAGCCAGACATGGATGAAACATTCCCCGGAAATAAGGTAGATGGGTGATTGCTGGGAAGAAGAGAAGTAAGTAGGCCAAATCCCTGGAGACTGCCTGCAAGAAAGATACTTAGGAAACAGACTATAATAGGAGCTCTATGTTTTCTAACTCCATTGAAGCACTAGCACAGATCAAAGTACCAGAGTACAGGCTGCTGTGAAAACAGTGGGGACCCGGGGATTTTTAAAGTAATAAGATAACATTTTTACCAGAAGGATTACCAAGATAGGAGGGACCCTGTTGGCATAGAGAATGGTGCCAATTGGAATGAGGAGCTACAGAATAAGTGGTAGGATGCCACATCTATCTCTTTAGTCTTGCTTGATTCTTTAATTGAGGATTATTTACTACACTCTTATACTAGACTAGGTGCTGTAAGGAATAAATACTGTGCTCTTCAGAGCTGACAATGTAACAAAAAATAGCATTAACATGAGATAACAAAAAAAACTTTAAAATTGCATAACAGCACATTCTTGTATTGCAGCAACTTGACCTTTTGGCTCATTCTTCATAGCCAATCTAGATGCATTTTACTTAAATATGGGTATCCCTCATGGAAGTGCCAAATGTAAATGATGTTGTTATTCCCTAACTCTCCCACAGCAATCCTCACTCCTACAGCTTCTATGTTGAAATCCCAGGGTGGGGAGGGACAAGCCTGTGCCCACCTTTGCACTAGCAAGTCCCTCTGCCTAGAATGTCTTTATTTTATACTGGATATGCGTGGCTAGTTTGTTATTAAGGTTTTGGCTTACATATAACCTCCTTAGGAATATAGCTGAACAAAAGAGTGAAGGTTTGGCTGCCTGCTGCAAGGAAAGCCAAACTTTTGAGGCAGGTGCTGGTGCAAAAGGAAAAGAGGTTTTATTCAAGAGCCACACCGCAGGACCTGGGAGAATGGTGAACTCCTGTCTCAAAGACCATCTTCCCTTCCTGCTCAAGTCCCCTGTTCTTATAAGGAAGGGGAGTGAAGGGCCTTTTTTCCCCCCTATCCACTACCGTGTTAGCTTTTGGCAGGCTTGAGGCCCTTCCTAGCTTTCAGCTCATCCAGGGCCCTATCCATTCATATTTCTAGGTCTCGGCATACTCAGTATAGACCTTCCCCTGCGCCATCTTGGCCAGTGGAGGAAGACTCCCCAGTGCTCTGACTGCAGCAACAGCTACCCCCTTCAAAACTCTGGCCCCGCCGAAACCAGTTTGGCTCAGTGGATAGAGCGCCGGCCTGCGGACTGAAAGGTCCCGGGTTCGATTCCGGTCAAGGGCATGTACCTGGGTTGCGCGCACTTCCCCAGTGGGGGATGGGCAGGAGGCAGCTGATCGATGTTTCTCTCTCATCGATGTTTCTAACTCTATCTCTATGTCTCTCCTTTCCTCTCTGTAAAAAATGAATAAAATATATTTAAAAAAAAAAAAAAAACCTCTGGACCCTTGTTATCTAAGGGGAAATGAATGGAGGTCTCATCTTCTGTAGTGTCTTCCAGCTGTCAAAGGGTATAGTCTTACCTATCCCTAGAACCAGAGATTCTTACTATCTACTGAAAGAAGAGGTGGATCAAGAATCGAGGGAGGACTGCTCTTTGGAAGATGGTATATATGGTGTCTAGAGGATGGAACTATTGAACAAGCAAAGCTGGTAGACTGCTTCATATTTCGAGAGCTGGTGTTGTTAATGGGCTTCCAGAGTGAGACCTATTGTGCAAACAAGTGTTTAGTGAGGGGTATGCCTAGTAGTGCAGGGGAAATTGTAGTAAAATCAGAAACTGAATAAATTAAAGGATCCCCATGATCTAATCCTGAGCAGGGCTTTGGGTGGCACACCCAATAGCAGGATAAATTTTCCAAGGAAGCCACTGTCTGGGAAATGCAGAATAAAATAAAAAGTAACATTGTCACTTAGCTTTGGGAGGCACTGTCCCTTTCTGAAAGAGGAATTTTAAATCTCTTTCAGGAGTGCAGGTCCAGCTTGGCAATATCAACAGCAGCAGCAAGATCGAGTCCTCAGGTGGTGCCCACTTTATCTGTGTGGTGGATCCAAGGCTCGATTCCTGTCGGCTTTAGTGAAGAGTGTGTTGTCAGCAGGACGTCATAGAGACGGGCCCATTGCTTGGCTAACTGCTGCTCAGGACCTTGAGACTTCCAGGTCTGTAGTAAAACTAGGTCTCCCGGCTGGAATGGGGGTAGGGGCTCGTCAGACAGGTAGATAGACCTGCAATGAGCAAACTTATGCAGCATTGTTAGTGTTTGCCCTAGATGATGTACATACGGCTTTTACATTTTCTATTTATGTTTTAAATCTAAAGGAGGTGTTCCTAAAACAGAAAATTGGAAGGGTCTCCCATAAACCTTCAAAAGGGCTTAATCTAAGCCCACTTCAGGGCACTTTC